AGTAAGATCCCAGAGCGATCAGACATAACTTATTTTCACAAGGATGAAATCTCAGGCGTAGTGCTCTCATGTGCTTTGAATAACTGGCGTGTTTGTGGGGTTCGCCCTATGACACCTTGGCAGATACCGGGTGAGAACGCTAACTAAAAAAAATAAATGAACTTTACTTATTTTCACATATCTGATTTTTACATATGTTATTCAGACAGCTATTATAATATAAAGTTACTAGCATGAACCCGCGACTTCGTTCGCGTCGAATTAATCATTTGTAATGGTAATGATAAAGCAAAGCAAGAATTCCCATTAACATACAAACTGGATAAAATTTTCTCACATTTATGTCAGCATGAGAAAAAACAATATGGCGATATTATTATATAACTTCGTAATATTTGAGGGGTAGTTTCATCTCGTTGGAATTTGACGTTCGAAAAATCCGTTTGCCAAAAATAAGCTATTTACGTCCAGCAGTTTAAGCAGAATCGTGATTATGATTAATCACGATTCTGCTTAAACCTATTACTTATTTACCCTACCTTATTACCCAACTTTTTGGAACACCCTGTATGATTTTTTTAAAAAAATTTAAAATATGTAAAAAACAAAATAAATTATGCGTGCCCAAGCGTTTTCGCGAAGGAAAGACTGTATAAATTTTTAAAAAATCTTAAAATATGTAAAACAACAAAATATAAAATATACGTGTTTAAGAGTTTTTCCGAAAAACTCACCGGTTTTTAAATAAAAATATTCTAATATTTGAGGGGTTGTTTCAGCCCTTTAGAATTCGAGTTTCGAAAAATTCCTTCTTATCGAACTTCTACACCCTAAAGGCAATCCGTTTTCCAAAAATCAGCTTTTACGTCAAGCGCTTTAAACAGGATCGTGATTAATCAATGACCAGATTTTTTGAAACACCCTGTATACATTTTTCAAAAATCTTAAAATGTGTAAAAAAACAAAATAAAATATACGTGTTTAAGAGTTTTTCCGAAAAACTCACTGGTTTTTAAATAAAAATATTATAATATTTGAGGGGTTGTTTCACCCCCTTAGAATTAGAGTTTCGAAAAATTCCTTCTTATCGAACTTCTACACCCTAAAGTCAATCCGTTTTCCAAAAATCAGCTTTTTACGTCAAGCGCTTTAAGCAGGATCGTGATTAATCAATGATCAGATTTTTCGAAACACCCTGTATACATTTTTAAAAATCTTAAAATATGTAAAAAACAAAATAAAATATATGTGTTTAAGCGTTTTTCCGAAACTTGACCGTTTTTAAATAAAAATATTGTAGTATTTGAGGGGTGATTTCACCCCTTTGGAACTGGAATTTCGAAATATCTCTTCTTATCGAACCTCTACACCCTAAAGTCAATCCGTTTTCCAAAAATCAGCTTTTTACGTCAAGCGCTTTAAGCAGGATCGTGATTAATCAACGACCAGATTTTTCGATACACCCTGTATACATTTTTAAAAAATCTTAAAATATGTAAAAAAAGAAAATAAAATATACGTGTTTCAGCGTTTTTTCGGAAACTTGACCGTTTTTTAAATAAAAAATATTGTAATATTCCACCCCCCTTTTTACCCCCTTAGGGGATGAATTTTAAAAAATCCTTTCTTCTCTCACGTAAACATCATAAAAGGAACCCCTGTACAAAATTTCAGCTTTCTAGGGTCAAGGGTTTGGTCTGGGCGTTGATGAGTCAGTATCAGTCAGTACAGTCAGATTTATATATATAGATATTTAATCAGTCAGACAGATTGCAATGACCAAACATCCTCTAAACACAAAAATGATTTATTCAGCCGTGAATATGAGCACGGGAGAACTATGAGTTTCCGAGTAAAGTATTTAAATATTTTAAAAATACTTACTGCTTTCGATTTAATATTTTTGCATCTCTATTTAAATAAAATTAGTTGTAAAAGTGAAAACAATACATACTTATGGAGCCGATCGGTCGATTATTTGATTGCATGTGAGCACGCCTCCATAAGAATTATATTGGTTACAAATCTGCAACTAAATAGTCGGCCGAGTAAGAATTGCATGTCACCCCAGGCTTATTTTCGAATATTTCCTTTTACAGTATCCAAACTATTTAAAAACGTAAGTCAGAGAATTCAGGGTTTTTGTTTTTCAAATTAATATTTTTTTTAGAAAATATGCGATAATTGTTTTGGGTAGTTTATACAGGGTTGTTCACCACATACGACACGGAGTATTGTAGCTAAACGATTAGATTTTTACAAATTTTAAGTTTTGGGTTCGTTGAAGGACTATTAGAGCTACAATTTAGAAATAATTTTACAAGATACAGAGTGTCCCAAATAAGTAAAAAATGCTTTAGTTGTATTTTTTTAAATAGAACACCCTGTATATTATTCTATTTTTAGATTCTACGATTGAAATAAAGGTAAATTTTATTAAAGTTTATCACACTTAAACCTTACCGTTTTTGAAATATTTTCAATTTTTGTAAAATTGCAGTCAAAATTTTAAGGCTTATTGTGTTGCAATAATAAAAATTATACTACCTTATACAGAGTGTCTAAAATTTTATTTTAAATAATTACTAGCTTTAAACGGCAATAACTTGTTTAATTTAAATGGAACGTCCTGTATATTTTAGGAGAATCAGATGCATAATTTAATTGTCTATCAAATTGTATTATACCACTTTCTACCTATCCCTTCAAGTTTTCGTAGAAAATGCATTTTCTTATAATTTAGACCTCATTTATCAATATACCCATGGATTATTGACATTTTAGATTGTTTTTAAAGCAACAAATGTACAAAATGTACAGGCTAGTAATATTATCGTTTTTAACAAAATGATAATATTACTAGCCCATTTGTATGCAAAAAGAAAACTAGTTAAATCTTCATAAAAGAGTATACCATTAATTAAATATACCACCATTATTTCCGCCCAAATACTAATTAATTACATACTTAATTTGTTCGTGAATAAATTATTATAAAAAAATGTGGATTTGAATCAGAAATCAATATAATAATAAATTATAAAAATGAATGTCTCTGTTGTTACAAATAAGCATTTGTCAAAAAATGAAATATCATTTTTAAAGTGTTACTTTTTACCACACTGTCTAATACACATAAAAAATTCAGTTTTTCAGTTTTTGGAGCAATTATTATTAATCAACGCAAACAGTCAATTAATGTAGTTTGAATACTAGAATCATATTAATTGGTCCTCTTTAACAAATATTTAATCAGTTTTTTTTTATTTTTTAATAAAATAAACAAACTATATTGACAATATTAGTATCTGTACTCTTTAAAAAATTGGTACATCTTCAAAAATAATCTAAAATGTCAGTATTCCATTGGTATATTGATAAATAAATATAAAATTAAAAGAAAATGCATTTTCTACGGAAACTTGAAGCTCTAGGTAAAAAATGGTATAATACAATTTGATAGACAATTAAATTGTGCATCTGATTCTCATAAAATATACAGGGTGTTCCATTTAAATTATGCAAGTTATTGCCGTTTAAAGCTAGTAATTATTTAAAATAAAATTTTAGAGACTCTGTATAAGGTACTATAATTTTTATTATTGCAACACAATAACTGATCAATAAATAAACTTCAGTAAATATTTAGTATTAAAAACTTCGATACCCTTGGAGAAATGAAGCCTTAAAATTTTGACTGCAATTTCACAAAATTGAAAATATTTCAATAACGGTAAGGTTTAAGTGTAATAAACCTTTATCAAATTTGCCTTTATTTTAGTCGTAGAAACTAAAAATGTAATAACATACAGGGTGTTCCATTTAAAAAATACAACTTTGATATTTTTTATTTATTTGGGACACTCTGTATCTTGTAAAAATATTAATAATTGTAGCTGAAATAGTCCTTCAACGAACCCAAAACTTACAATTTGTGAAAATCTAATCGTTTAGCTACAATACTCCGTGTCGTATGTGGTGATCAACCCTGTATACAATAAATTAATTTACTTTAATAATTATTAATTATTACTTTAATAAAAAGCTCATCTTATTTAAATAGAGATGCAAAAATATTAATTCGAAAGCAGTAAGTATTTTTAAAATACTTGAATACTTTACTCGGAAGCGCATAGTTCTCCAGCGCTCAGTCACAGCTAAACATTTTTTGTAGTTAGAGGATATTTGGTCATTACAGTCTGTCTGACTGATTAAATATAACTTTATAACAGCTATCTTAATAACATATATAAAAGTCAGACATGTAAAAATAAGTAAAGTTTATTTATTTCTTTTAGTTACCTTCCTCACCTCCAAGGTGTCGCAGGGCAAACCCCACAAACACGCCGGTATTTTGTTTCATCCTTGTGAAAATAAGTTATGTCTGATCGCTCTGCGATCTTGGACTATAAGTTAATCACCGCGAACTTATAGATCTATTGTGCCTCTCTTTCATGAGTTATAACTCTTCATACAGTCTGAGAGTTTTGACAAAAGCCAGTATCTGAGACGGTTTTTCAGAGGTTAGTTCTCCATCTCCAATATCAGTCATACTAAAGTTTATGGCACAAATGGTTGTCGTTTCAGTGCACTCAGTGATAAGGTCTTCTGGTGTTTTCCCATTTCCCCGCAGAATCAGCACTTTCCGTAGTTTTGGTTTGGTTTGGTGTCGTGTTAAAAACCTCGCAACAATCTGAAGATTGTTGATTTTAAAAATTATCATAGAGAAAAATTAAAAATGCATAATATCTAGATGAAAATCGATAAAAAAAATTATGAATGCATCAGAAAGAAGATACTCCTTATACTTATGTCTAAACGCATATTCACTCAAATGTAGTAACTGTAGGTAAAAATTGTAATTATTTACGGCATTAAACAAAACCATCTTCGAAAAATGGCTGTTATTGTTATTGTTTTTTTTTTGTTAGTTGTTATTGTCCTTTGATAGATCTTTTTTTAAAATATACCGAGTAATATTATTTATTCCTTCTTTGCAGACGCAACCAGGGCGGTGGCAGCTATTTGGGCGACGTCAACGTGTCGGCCATCTTGGACTCCTTCAGCGTCAGCTACGACAAACGTGTAAGACCCAACTATGGAGGTGAGTGACACGCTGATGGTGGCCGTTGCTTTCTGTGTCCCCTTATTTTCAGTTTTTTTTTCGATCTTTTTCTCTTAATTTTACTCTCTCTTTTTATTTTGTGTAACCTCCATTTTTTTTACTTGCCGAAAATTCGATTGTTTCGTGGATTTTCAACTCTGTTCAAATAAGGTTGAACGTTTTAGTCAAATAAAAATCTTTATTTACACGGTGTTATATAATAAATAAATACCATTAAATCAAACTAAATATGTTGCTTAAACGTTCTAACCTATATTTTGCATTAAATATACGGGGTGAAGCAAAAGCATATGTCTATATTTTAGTAGTATACAAAATAATACCTAAAAACAAAATGAAACCAGGTATAACATTATTCCAGTCAATTTTTCTATCCTATTGGATATGCTAAAAGTTATATACCGTGTGATTAAATGAATAAAAGTGTCACAGTAGAAATTGAATTGATATTTTAGTTTAAGATATCTAATATAACTAATAGTTAATAATCAGATAATGGCTATTACGTTGTTTAAAATAGGTAATATATAGTTTTAAAATAATTTCCTTCTTCTTTACAAGCTCTAAAATGTTTTACTGTATTTTATTAACTTACAAAGAACTTCAAATAACTTATTAGTTGAACACACGATATAATTTACATTTACGATCAATATTCAGAAGCTTAGATTTCAACGTTAAAAAATTGCTAAAATATTTGACCTGTACTTTTGAAACGCCCTGTATATGCGTCGTCGGGCTCGTATGTGCGAATAACTCAACAAGAGTTTGAGAAAACTAAAAAATAAAAGAAATATTTATTAAATTAAATTTCTAAAATTAGAAAAAACTAGTATATTAATGCGTTTATATTGCGCTACATAAAAAAAGTATTTTTGAGGTTGCTGTAAATTTTTGATATGCAGCATTTTTTCGATATATGAATCTTAATAAATTTAAGATAAGTGTAATGAGATGTATCAAAAAAAGAACAGTGGTTTAAAGTTTATAAAAATAGAGTTTTACTTGTTATGAGAAATAATTTAAGCTGATTAGACAAGGTTTAAAAAAAAGGATTTTAGAAATATATTGCATAACTATTTAGATTATGATTGACCTTTCTTACACTAAAAATTAGTTAGTTTAATTAGAGTTTGCATTGCTGATAAATATACACAGTTTTTTATAAATTAAATATAAAATATACTACTATAAACAGAAACATTAAATTCCTAATAAATGCTTTAAGAAATGCTTAAAAAAATAAAAACCTAATAAATAAAATACTGACATATTTTCTGTGTCTTCATAATAATCACCTAACTATAACATAATTAATTTTCTGCTTGTGAAAGTTAATAAACAAGGAGACGGGTAACTAACTGGCTGGTTAGCCGAAAGCGGTTTCATCCTTTGACTTAATCGCGAGCGAAATCTTTGTCGGGGACGAAATATTCAACCCATCAGACCCGATAATTTCGCATTGAAACGCTACCCTCCCTCCTGTCAACCGCCCGGCTATAAATAGCCCGTCCTGCCATGAATGGGCTCCGTATAATCAGATTCGGGCAAAAAAATCGATATTTTTATGACATGCAAATAGCCTGAGCTTTCGAGACAATGACAATTCTGCACAAGCCCTTTTTGAAATTGTTGCTTGCAGGAATGCACAGTAAATGTGAATGGGTATAGATGGGGATGTCAGAACGTCAGCGGTTTTAATAGACCTAAACTTAAAAACTACAGAATTTTTGAAATGTCACCATTTATATACCATAAAATAGAAAAAAAAGAACGGCTAAGGAATCGATCACAATTTTGGCGAGGTCAAGCCCTAAACGTTGTTACATGACCCGTGCTGTTCTTTATTATTTAATGCTTACTGCCAGTTGACCTTAAATAGGTCCTTATTTATTTTTATATTGGGTAAAAAGAATTCTTTTTTAATCTTTGACAAAGGTTTATGTCAATTTTTAGTAGATAGACGCATAGACAAACAAATAAAAAGAGACTGGCAAATTAAATGGCAAAGAGAGGGACAACGTTCCCGTAGCGCAACTCAGAACGCAAAATTTCGTTCTATTTATGTTGATCTGCGCATTGCATCTATTGGGCCCACTATCTCATTCTAATATAACAAGAAAGAAAGAAGCAACCATATAAATCGTAATTTCTAAATAGAAATTAGAACAATCGCCTTTCGTTTTCGTCATCATGACAACATCATGACAATTCGTCATGTTTGTTAATTTTTCTTTTGGTGATTTACCTTTTTTTCTAAACTCTTCATTTTATTGACTTATGAATATGGATAGGGAACAAATCCCTTTGTTCCATATAGGTATTTATATTTTGTTACTTATAATTTTCGGTTATACTATTTGTTATTTTATTTGCTGCAGGAGCCAGTATCATCTATTTTTTATATGTATTGGTGTCTCCTTTCTCTGATAGATATGTTAAAGACACCCGGTAAAATAAAAGTAAGTAGTTATATTTATCATCTTATTAAAAAAAAGTAGAAGTAGTAGCGTCAAAAATATTTCGAACCTGTCTTAACATAACAAATTAATACAATTAATTTTTTTCATTTTTTGGGTAGTTTTATGGCTGGTTTATAGTAACCAGAAACTTTATTAATATACTATTTTACTTTTGTTTTAGGATTAAAACTGGACTTGAAAATGGTTCAGGATCATGATTCTCGTAAAGTCTTCTTTGCTTGGATATTCACTTTGTTATTGCAATTTTATTAGGCAGTTTTTTCGAAAATAAGATGTTTAATGCCCTTTAAAAAAATTGGCCGATCGTTTCCTGCAACAGTCAGTCTTCTGCATTTAAAATTGGTAGGTGAGTGGGATAAACACTGTTATTTTTTGTTATTATATTATAAAAAGGTTTTTTTATTTTTATGTATAAATAAATATGTTTATAAAACAGTACAATTTTTGCTTTTTTTATAATTTCCCTTTTAATAGTAGTATTCTTTCGTTCTGAAAGAAACTGCAAATTTTAACTTAAACTGATTTATTCTCTACACCACGTTCCCTTTACGTGGTATAGGGAATAAATCAGTTTAAGTGAAAATTTTCAGTTTCAGAATAAAAGAATACTACTAATAAAGGTTAATTTCAATTTTCCGCCAGCCAGAATGTGCGATAATGTCTTACGATACGTTTTATACCTATCTCTTTCTTTTTCATATAAAGCACACATAATAAAGAAAGATAGCAATAAAGACGTACGTCCTGCCATGGTCCTGCTAATTGGTTTCAAAATTGTTATTCTGAGTTGCGCTACGGGAACGCGGTCCCACTCTTTACCATGGGATTTGTCAGTCTCTTTTTATTTGTTTGTCTATGGATAGACGTCTAGAGAATGACCTTGCCAAAATTACCATGGATAATCATTCGGTGTCATTTTACAAAAATGAACTTTTTATTATTTATTTAGAAATGTTTCAGTGCTAAAATACCTGTTTTTTTTTAAATAAATACATTATTAAACAATACGTACAATGCAGACATTTTACTTAAATATATGTAAATACTTACATTCTCACTTTTAACAAAATAATCCAAAAACAAACAAAAATATTTACTTTTTATGATTTATTCTTAAATATAAAGCCGTATCTTATTATAAAAACAATACTATAAATTATTGTTTCCAAAATATCACTCAAAGTAATCAACATCATTCTCAGCTTATTCAGCCATTTCCAATTATGGTGTAGCTTGCCTCCAAGGTTATTAAATTAAACAGGTTGCCTCGTAACTTGACATTAGCCGCCATATTGCGCGTCATCGTGTGGTACTCAGCAGTTTTCAACTTGTTTACAAATAATTTTACATTGTTTTCCATGTAGTAAGTGCATCTGAGTGGATTCTGACAGTTTTAGTGGATATACTATATATATTTTTTAAAGTTTTAGTGTACTTAATGTATTATAATAGATGAACTAGATAGTTTTTTAAAATTATTTATTAAATTTCCCTTAGAAATGGTGATCATTCCTACCTGTAACAACCTATAATGTTCAGTATTGTTTTTAGTGAGTGATATATATATATATATGTATTGTTACATTTTTCGTCGGTTCCGTGTGGATAGAAAGTCACAATTTATTTAAACACTATTTATTTAACACTAATTAACAAAAACAATAACGATAAAAGACTTATAGAACTATTTACAAAGGATTTATAACTAAGAATTTATTTTTGAATTTTAGCGCGTCAACTGTATATTTATAACTGCCCCCTGTAGGCCACAGCCGCCGGCTTTTATACCGACAGGTAAAGAACTCTAGAATAGTCCATAGATCGTTAGGTGCGTAGAGAAGGTTTTCGAATGTTCTCGTATGTACTAGTCCATTCCAGTGGGACTCAATTCTTCTCGAACGAATGAATCATTACGGTGTCTATTCTTTAATGCGATGTTAAGGTCATCTGAGGGCGGGACATATAGTTAGGTTAGGTCGAGTCCACACGGGTCCGCAACAGTATAATAAATTATTTCGTCTAGCTTGCGACATTTTAACATGGTAAAACGCTAAAACTATTTTTTTTTAATACAAATATTGCTTAAAAATGTTAAATGTCAGCAAAATTAGAGAAAAATAAATAAAGACTTTATTGAAAAACAATTTAACTTGTGTAATTATTATTATTAAACATTTTGTTAATAGTTATTTTAAATATCACGCTAGCTGACGTCATCGCGCTAACTACTGCGATTGGTCCAAAGTTACGAGGCAACCTGTTTTATATAATAACCTTGGCCTGCCTCACATATTGAGATACTCTCTTTGTAGTTGGGCTTATTGTTGTCTATTGTTGGCTATGCGAGCCCAAGTTATCCCTCCTAATTTCCTAATATCATGGTCCCATCTCAGGTTTGGTCTTCTTCTAGGTCTCTTAATTGCTCGTTGGTGCTATGTTGTAATTTTTGTGGTCCATCTGTTATCTGTTCTTCTTGCCAGTTGTCCTGGCCATTGC